AGCAAGTGATCTGCAAATGTATTGCCCGTTGGGGGGGGGGGGGAATGCGGAATTGAAACCATCCTTTTTAGGATTGGAGCTGGTATCCCAAGGTTTAGATTAATGCAGAGACAGAAGGCTTAATTTAACAAGTAATGTTATGCATACAGCAAAGCTCAGCAAAGGCTGACTCTGGGGTGGAAAGACACCTGTTTTATCCACAGGCGCCGGCACAGGCAGAGGGAGCTATTTGGCTGTGCAACCAGGTCAAACTGTTTTCCAACCACAACAGTTGGCCGTGGCAGCACAAATTATCCTTGTGCACTTCATGCAGGAGTAACCTCTGTTCAGAAGACCCCTAGTACTGACTGATACTCACTGCAGGTCTTGCAGAGGCCTGAGGGACTTACATAGGGCTAAGCTAACCTCTGGGCCCAGCTGGCATCTTGTGACACGAGTTCAGTGCTTTTCAGTAGCCCTCAAGTTTGTGGAGCAGAAGCGGAGTAGAGCCCATGAGGACATGCTAGCTTGGCTCTAAGGTGCAAGTCTGCACAGGCCTTGCAGACATTCCTGCATCCATCACATTTTAGTGAAGAACAACCACAAGTGACTGGTTGGTGGCATGACCAGAGGAAATGGCCCTCAGCAAATACACATGTGGAGCAAAACCAAGAGCTGGTGAAGACACAACAGAAGAGAAACTTCTAACAACCCTGAGATGTCCTTCCCTTCTGATTTCAAGTAAAAATTATTTTCAGAATTTCCCATCAGGGACAACAGCTTGGTCCTTATGTCTTCTTCAGAAAAGTTTATTTTTTAACGGGTCATTATGTACCACATAGACCAATGTTTATTTATAAGCTGTAGACATATGTCAGGCTATCGTTTGGTATAATGATGCATGTTTCAAATGCCTTTTTAAAAAAACTTAAGGGCAAGATGGAAGAAAAGATTTTTAAGCTGTTGCAAAAGGCTCCAGGAAAAATACAATTGTAAGTATGCTTCTGATTTCCATGGTCTTGATTTAAAAGACAATGCCTTTCAGAAGTCTGTAACAGTAGCAAAAATCTGTATTTGTGTGCACCCATGCACATAACAGTATGAGTAAATTAGATTAGCGATATCATCTGTCAAGAAAAACCTTCTGCCTTTTGAGCTTCTCTAGCTAGGTGGCATCATTTTAAAACCAGTGCATTTTTTTGAGATATTGTGGTAAGACTCCAGTAACATCTTCTTCTCGTCCCACACTTTCAATGTGTGCAGCTGTCGGTGACATGCAGGGAATCTACCTCACTCTTGCCCATCTATCCACTCTTGCCAAAACCTCATTTCCACTTTGATTACTTCTGTACTGTGTGGTTGGCCTCCACAGCTCTCTCCCAACTCAGACTTTTATAATTCTTTGAAACTGGCTCATTTGTCCAGTTGTGCCTAAGGCAGAGCTGAGGCAGACCATGTGTCAGGTAAATAGAGGCTAGTGCTGTTTCCACTAGTCTGTGATCTTGGCTACGGCCCACCTGGTTGAGAACAGTATGGGCTGTGAATGCTTGTTTTCCCTTCCTCTGCAAGCACTGACGACTTTATACCATAACAGGTTTAAAGGACGCATCTTCCACTGAATGGGCTTGGGTTCAAGGTCAGTCTAAAAATGTAGAGCAGAGCCCACCTTACAGCAGGGTCTGCTGCATGCTGTCAGTGCCAGCGCTGTGGGCACACCTGGAATAAAGCACCACTCAGCAGGAAAGTGGGGCAGCAGGATCTGGCACCGTGTTAGGGAAAAGAAGTTGTATTTATCTGAAGCACTTGACTCATCCTGGGTCTGTGGAGGACTGAGCTGCACAGGCAGGGCATCCAGCCCAGGGGATGGGTGAGCCTGGGAGGCAGGGGAGAAGGCTATCAGACCCTATTCCCAGAGGTAGGCAGGGCATCTCTGTGTGCTAGACCCATGGAGGCCAGCTCCTTGGTTCAGGGGAAATTAATGTTTTTTCTAAAGAATATCAAGCCATCTTTTGTGACCTAGTCCAAGTGGTTTGCAGGTTCACCCCCAGAGTGCCATATTCCATGGATCAAACACCTTCAATATTGGAAACTCCTACAGAAAAGACCTCCTCCCTCCCATCCCATTGTGAATGGGATGACTCCCATGAGACAGGGATATCAATGTAGAAACCCAGCACTGGAGGAGCATAACTGTGAAGCAAAGATGGCCACACACTCATCCTGGCCAAGCGTGAGGCGATCAGAAGACCCAGGTGTCCCCAGTAGTCAAAGTCACTATAACATTAGGCCCTGCCTGCAGCCTGCGGTTGGTTTCACACTGAGATGAGAGCTCCTCTATGCAGCAAACTCACCTCTGGAAGGCACAGTGCTGCCAGGGTCAGGCCAACCCATAGATGGCTCTGCTCAAAGCTAAACAAAGAGGAGAAGTAGCTCCCAGCATTTCCCAGCCAGGCAGGGAGACACACCTTGTGCTCCCATGGACTTCCACAGGAACCAAAACAAACTGGAGAGGCAACTCAGCTCTCCCACAACGCATTTCACTTGTCCCAGCCTGAGTCCCATGGGAAGATGTCCTCCAGATCCCAGGACTTCCTCAGGCCCAACACTCATCTGGAGGCAGTGTCATGACTCAGTAACTGCAATATTAAACACATCTCCTCGCAGGCTAGCCACTGAAGGCACCATGCCTTCAAAGAGCATGTTTCCTTCCTGACCAATTCAGAAGCTTTAGGTACCAATCAGGGAGTGCTCTCACTTCATTATTTCTGGTGATTTTACATAAAGATCTCCTTCAAGCCTCCATCAGAAAAGGTAGAAAAGCCCTGCCTGGCTGAGTTTTTTTGCACCATGTCAACTTCTGCCATGGTGCCACAACTGATATTTCCTATGGACCTTCAGCTGTAATCCTGAACTGCATAGGACAGGGTGGGCTGAATGGGGAGAAGTACAGAAGAGGATAAAACTCCTTTGACACCTTCCAATCCATTACAAAGTCTGGCTTGGTCCCCAGATGGTCCTATACGTACAGCCCTGCTTCCTGGGGCAGATGAACTCCTGCTGTGACCACCTTTCCCACTCTGCTCCATCTCTTACAGACAGTTGCTACTGAAGACCTTCTGCAAGGCAGGAGAGAAGTGATGAGGAACACTGTTTTTGTTAAATCTCTTCTTCCTCTTCACTAACAACCTCCTTCAGGTCCTGAGGCCCCTGCTCTGCTTTCTCTTTTACATAGGCTGCCTTGATCTGTTCCAGCTCACACAGCTCTGCCTCCAGCTCTTCCCTGTGCATTGACCGCCGGTTCCTCAGCAGTTTCATGGGGAACGGGTTTAAGTCATTGAAGGCAATGTTCATCAGCTTCCTACGATGGAAAAGACAGGTCTGGTGAACCGATTTACCGGCTGGTAACAGATGGTAACAGATACACCAAGTGCATCCTGGGGTAGGCAAAGAGTAGGACCTCAGATTTCAGCGCTCTGAGCTCAAAAGTCACCAAGCAGCAGTCTTAAAGGAATCACAGCCAATACCTTCTCACACAAACACCAACCCAAGCAGCACTTTAAACAGCCTTACACCACACCACCTTTTAAGGTTCTGGTGTGCAGCCACCAGTCAGGAGATGGTGGATCAGATGCCAATTCTGATGGCCCCTGGGAGAGGAATATTCCCAACGTTGAGCTCTTCTGATCACAGAAACCTTCCTCTCAGACACATTGCCATTAAAGGTTGTGAGTGGTGCTGTGTTCCCAAATACCCCAACCACAGCTGAGAGAAACCCAGCAAGTGGCAGCACAAGTTCCAGCAGCTGCAAAAAGAAGGCTGGCCCAGACTTTGTGGCCTGCTCTGCTGTAGCATGCCTTTGCCCGAGCCAGAAAGACTTTAAGTAACACCATGAAGGGAAAGTCAAAAAGAGACAAACTGATCCATTGTCCCATGGACCTGCCAATGCACATGCATCTCTCTTAACAAATGGGTCACAAATCTTTTTAGGCTGACCTAACAGGCAAGCAAGTACAAATCCAGGATAGAAGGTTGTCTACAACCAACAGTCCTACCTGCCATCCACGATCATTCTTGTGAAAAAGCGTAGGTACTGGTAGATCTCCACACTGTCATGAATTCTTAGGATTTCCTCCTCATTGTATTTAAAAATCGCAAGGGCATAGCGGAAAATCACCTGGAAGGTTGAAAGCTATTTGAGTTGACAAAGTTTTAGGCAGTTGAGGGACCAGGCCCTCCTGGCGTAAAACATGGGGTGGGGCACGCAGCACTGCAGCATAGGCTGGACACTGGGCTTCTCCTGCTCTCAATACGCTGCGTTAGGGCAGGCCTAAAGACACACAGAGCTAATCCCAAGAGAATGACCCTCTGTGAGCTAATTTACAACCCCAGAGCATTACAGGTCCTCCAAAAGGACCCCACAGGGATTTCGCAAGGGTTCTCCAGTTCTCTCTATGCACAGGGACAATGCAAGACTCACATTTTCAGATACTAACTCTCTGCCCATCTTCTGCTCCCTGTATCTGTCATACTCTCAGCTGTGTCCGGGTCACAGAGCAGAAGACACCATGGCCTGTCAGAGAGCTGTTTCATAGCAGAACTACCTGCTAAAAAGTGCCAGGGATACTGTGCACACCATCAGAGACTAGGTCTGCCTATCGGCAGCAAGTACACAGACAACACAGAGGCTGGGAGGCATCAAGGCACCCCATCAAACAGGCAGGACGGGACAAGAGGCTCAACCCTACATCTCTTTGACACATGTGTACATCCATCACCCTGCCATGATATCACAGAGGTAGTGCAGAAGGGAGGAAGGCCTAGACTGAGAGTTGCACCTTAGTTCCCTCGTACAAGAAGGCATCCCACACTCGCAGGAGGATGTCGCTGACCAGGCTGTCCACAAAGGCCACCAGAAACCAATTGAAGGTGATGAGTGAGACATCAATCCGATACTGCTCAAAATGAGCCATGAGGCGAGGCAGCTTCTCTGACAGGAAGTCTTTGAAGACTCTCTGATCTACCTAAAGTTGACAAAAAAGAAAACAATGAAGTCCTAGTCAAGAGCAGTCCTGGTGTTGGAGAAGAGGAGCAGTGCAACAGGACAGCGGCCCACACATGCCATGGTAACCACTGGTGCTGCCTTCTAGCCTAACCACACCCTAGGAAGAATAGAGCATCCTTTGTCTCCCAACCCTTAAAAATTACTGAGCGGTATACTTGTACGCTGTACCCAGTGCAAGGTGTGGAGCTGAAACAGGACCAAGATACAAGCAGAGATACATACATTCTTCTCACTCAGAGGATCACATTCCTTCCCAACCTCAAAGTCAAGAGGGAAAATGCTGCCACATCTTCCCACATCAGTCTTACTGGGATTTTGTGATGTCATGAGCATCCATTTGAATGACAGGGATTAAAACCTGCCCAGGTCTGAATGACTGCACATGGCCCAACAGAATAAACACCCAGAATCCCTCTGACTTCGCAAGCAGGACCTGATCTTCTCACTTAGCTTCTCTTTGTCGTCTGAGTATGTCTGTGCTCTGCTTCTGGTTGCATGACCTGAGACACAGCAATGCAGTTGGTGAGATCCTTGACCCAGGTTTATAAAGGCTTCATCTCAGGGAAGCCATGGTTTCACGAGGGGAAGTGCTAAGGAGCAAGATGATGGTTAGGTCTTCCCCTATGCCATATCACACTGCTGACCCAGCTGTGTCAGCCCACTTAGCTGTGGCACAGTGGTACAAACCAGATAAGGTGATATGCTTCATCTTCAAAATCTGCAAGAGCTAAACCTTAAGTTTTCCAGCCAACTCAGAGCTTTCACGTTACCAAGCCAACACACAAAGATTCACCCTAGACCTTCCTCTTTACGTGGGCCTTGGCTAGACTTTCAGAGACCACCCATGAGGTCAGGAAGTCTTTCTAAAAAAGGCTCCCTCAGCTGACAGTCTTTTCTTACCTAATGTAGGGGAGCCTCTGTGTCTTCAATCTGCCATGTTTTCCCTGTCAATCACTATTTGTCAAGTATTGAGTGCTGCCTATTAAATCTCACAGCTAACACTACCTGCTCCAGACAGACATTTTGCTATCTGCACAGCGATTTGGCTGCTTCCCCAGTCTGTGGTTGGCCTCTCCACCAGGACGCCACTGTCCCAGTAAACATTAGTCAACCAATTCAGTGGCACAATCAGTCACTCTCAGCTACTGACGCTTGTAGCCTCATCTATTGTGGGCCCACAGATACAACCCTCTTCTCTCTGAAAGGACCACACACAGTAAAGACACCAAGGTCACAGCCAGGGTCACCAGACTGGGCACTGCTGGGTGTGGGTGGTATGGGCACACAATTACAATTCCATTGAACTATATGGCATTTATCTTGGCTCTGTGTCTGCCTGGGAGGACGTAGTATATCTGATACAAGACAACACATCTTGAAAACCTTGAAATCCAGCGACTTTGAACCAGGAGGGTGTTACTCACAGAACAACATTTTACATCAAATGGCCAGAGGGCTTTCTGATCTGCAGGGAACCCCAACACCAGAACTAACACTGTATTTGATCATGAACTGAGGCAAGTACAGTGAATATAGAAATCTCAGTATTTTCTTCTGTCTGCACACGGCACTCCAAAGATAGGGTGCAGTTTCCAAAGAAACATCTGAAGGGCTGCAGAACGGTGCCTTCTTCATACTTAGTTCTACAGACATCAGAGCTTGCTACTTCACCTCTACTAGGCCCTCCTTAAAATAAGTAACTGTGCAATTAATGAGCACCTTCCTTCTGACTAACCTGACCTTCAAGTGATTACTCAGGAGTGGTGCCCAATTTCCTAGTGCTGGAGATCGATTTTGCTGCTCCTGTGTGTGTAACAACTTTGTACTCTAAAGTCTACACCACCTCGGCAATGGAAGGGACTGCAAGGTGGTATCACTGTCCTGTGAGAAATCAAACACACCACAAGTTGTCTGCTTGCTTTTAAACCTTTACTGTAAATCACTGTATCAGAGTCCAAGCAGATGTCAGGGTGCCCAGCTCACCTGTGATGTTATCAGTGTGTCACTGTAGTAGTCTGCCGGCATTAGGTTCTCCACAATATGGACTAGGCACCAGAAAGCACTTTCCTCATCTTCCAGGACCAGGAGGGCAACAGCTGCCAGTCTGTGATGGACAAGACATGGTCAGGCAATGCAACACTGCAGGAGGAGACATAGGCCAGCACAGGAACTGGAGAATCCAAGATTCCTCTTGGCATGTGTTGTGGTTTAACCTCAGCTGGCAACTGAGTACCACACAGCTGCTCACTCACTTCCCCCACCCCCAGTGGGATGGGGGAGAGAATCGGAAGAGTAAAAGTGAGAAAACTTATGGGTTGAGATAAGAACAGTTTAATAATAATAATAATAATAATAATAATAATAATAATAATAATAAAATGAAAAGGAAAATAGCAAAGAAAGATAAATAAAACCCAAGAAGACAAGTGATGCAAATGAAAACAATTGCTCACCACCAACCGACCGATGCCCAGCCAGTCCCCA